AGATCAACATCCTTTCTTCTTTATGAATGCAATATCCAAGCAACCTTACAAGATTCCTGTGCTGCAATTTAGCAATCAGTTTAATTTCATTCTTGAACTCTTGAGTCCCTTGTCCTGAACCTTTAGACAATCTTTTCACTGCTATTTCTTGTCCATTAACTAATATGCCCTGAAATATCAAAGTTCTAGTATATCATATACTTGTGCAAGACTATCAACATTAGCATTACATAAGATATTACTCTCATAAGAATTAAAATATAACTAGATTAAAGGAAGTTGCATTCTTATAAGATTTCACTTACCTTGTAGACAGAGCCAAATCCACCACGCCCTAACTCATTCTCAATTGAAAAACTATTTGTAGCAGCCAGTATGGTTTTAATGTTGAAAAATGGTAAGCTTGCTTGGGTTCTATTTTCACCATGCTCTTCTTCAGAGGGAGATTCTATGTTTATTTGTTGCTCAGCCATTTTATCTAGAATAAGCAAAAACAAGAGGACGCAATAAGATTACGGATATCTTAAACGAGCTATAGCATTTAAAAGGCAATTTATTTCATGTTTTCACTCCACGTAAAATTAGTTGAAATCATTTATTTCATATTTTTCTTGTTAAATTCATAACTTTTCTTGGATACTAAAAACATCATAACTCGTCCGAGAGAAATAAAGAAGGGAAAAGTAGTAGGCACCTCTCTTTTTCTTCATCCAAAAGTAATAAACACACAGGGAAACCAGAAGAATAATTACAACCAGAGTAGCTGTCAGAATTCCCACCATTCAGACGTAGAAGTGTTCCTTTCAGTTTCCTATTATAGTTTGCTGAGAAAAGGGAAACAAGAAAGTGTTCAACAAAAAGTAAAATGAAAAACAGGGAACAAATACAGAAATTAAGAGTAGTATATCTACCTAGTTCAATGGCATCAACACGAACATATAAATCATGGCCTTCCTCATTTAATACCATGGTGTCCATCAGAGTCCCATGCCATCCTAAGCACCCACTTCCTCCATTTCTCACATCTGCAGCGGCGTAGGCAGTGCAAGAACAGTTTCTCAAGCACTCTTGTTCACATTCCTCCATGCTCAAACCCTTTCTAACACTTGCTATAGATGTATCAGGAATCTTGACACTTTCTACTTTAACAAAGCCTTCTCCATTTCTGCACAAGGGTGGTCCTTTCTTCCTCACACAACCTGCTGATTGATCATTCTTCTCATACCAATCAGTTGGGTTTCTGGGTTCAAACCCAGGCAGGCAAGAACACTTGTTGTAGCCATAGTTATAAGAGTCACAGTTGCTATTGGGTCCGCAAGTTCCATATATGTCACAGTCCACTTCTGGATAAGATCCATATCGCGTCCAATCTTTCTTTGCATAATCCCATTTATGCGTTTGCATGTATCCAGATGGAATAGCTACAATCTTGAATATGGAGGCGTTGTCCAAGGCATGATACACGACTCTAACCTCGCTATCATCTTCCATAACAGAGACATTGAAAGTATACACCATTAATCGTTTCAAAGCCGTCAGACCCACAAGTATTTCTCCATTGAAGGATCCAATTCGCCACACTGGAACATTTTGTTTGTACAGAAACAACTGAGGTTTGCCAGAAGTATTGAACCTAGCTGAGAAGCTTCCTGTTGCAGGATCGTCATCTGTCTTCCATGACTGCAAGAACCAGTCTTGACCAGTTCTTTTGTTGAAACCCAGTTTGCCATATGGAAGAAAGGTGTCGGTGGGATGATCAAAGCTTTGCCAGAACACAACTTTGGAGTCGTTTTGAATTATCGCAAGATTACCTATATCAGATAGTTGAGCCATAACTCTGGTACTTGGAAAAGTGACAGAAACATTCGTGGACCAGATGGGGAAGTTGGTGTTATTGTGGTGGAGTATAAGATTCCCATCTGCGCTGAGGGAGAGAACTCCAGAGGTGTCAGTGATGGGATTGTCTCTGTTTGCCACCCAAACAACAGTTTTCTTTGGCAAGTTATAGTACCATATTCCAACATAGCGAGAGCTCGATTTGCCAGGAGCGAAGAACCCAAGAGCAAACTTTCTTTCTTTAGAAATAAGAAGTTCTCCATCTCTAATGGGTTTGCCGATGGTTATTGCATCAGAAGCTGCGCAAAACAAGTAGTGGTAAGAGAAGAATATAAGACAGATGAGAACTATCCCGTTTGCTAACTTCATGATCAGAAACGCCTTAAATGAAATCAAAATTGAAGCCTCTTCTTATGGTACTATATATATATATATATATAAGAGAGAGTGTGTGATAGAGAGAGGGTTTTCTGCTGTACTTTATATTTAAAAGCTATAACTATCATCACCCATTCATATTCCATACACTATTTCTTGTGACGCGTCACTGTCCAAGTCAACCGAGCACTGGAGTCAAGGGAAACCCATTCCATAAGTTACGAGATAGTTCTCATAAATTCAACACGAGTGGATCAAATTTAAGTGTATTTCTTCCAACTTGCCACGGACAATTTGTCTCTTTCTCTCATAATGCATTCCACTACAACGTTGTTTCATTCTCACGAGTTCTGCTACGGTGAGCCGGAATTGGCTTGTCTCCACTTCCTTTTCACTGCCCGAAAATAAAATCTTGACCATTCATATTTGGTGTAGATTAAATTTGAATAATTTAAATTTAAAAATTTTTATATTTATAAATATAAATAAAAAAAATAAAAACTTTCAATTTTGATCATCCAGATTTAATCTACATCAAATTTAGATGATCATGAAAATTTTAATTTTAAACCATTTAGATTTAATTTGCATTAAATCTGAATAATTCAAATTTTATTTTAGAATAGTGGAAAGGAAATGAAGAGAAAGGATGGTGGAGACAAACCTAAGTCTTAGTGAGTCGGTGACTCTGTTAGAAAAAAAAAATCAAATTACAGTTAATGACCAAGATATTGAATTATTTACAATAATACCTTCTAAAGCGTAAAGCTACAAAAATACTAACAGCTTTGACAGATTGTGTTTCAATATGTTCGTGGAGAATGAAATTCTTAGCTTGATGATTTCTCTAAAGTCTATGTTACATGGATGCGCTGGAAAATTTGGAAGACGCGCAGTGATTGTGTTTTCAACAAACAAGATGGGGATTCTGTTAATCTCGCCCAATAGATGCTGTTGCTCGATCGAGAGTGCTGAAAAGAGTCTGGTTTGATGGAGAAGAATCACATACCTGATCAACAGAATGAATATGTTCAGATCTGGATGAAGACGCCACATGCAGAACTCAAATTCAACACTGATGACTCCCCGAACTCGTAGAGATCATGAAGGCAAACCATTGATCTGCTTCAGGTGGCGAATTGAAGTTCTATCCGACAGGTTTGGCTCGTGGAGCCCATTCTTGGCGAAGGACATTTTCTCTTCGCATATCAACCTCAATACACAAATCTTGTAAAACGCAGCTATTGTTTAGCTGTTGATAGCACTGGACAAACGGATTATAAGCTAATTCACAAGCTAGCCCACAGGCTAACATTTTTAAGTGTTGGGTGGGGCTAACCTATAAAATAAAATAAATTAAAAAATTTAACTCAACTCATTTTTTAACAAGCTAGTCCACAAGCTAACCCACAAAAATTTATAAATATTTTTTAACAATTTAAAATTTATATAATATATATATATATATATATTTCAAGATAAATTAACAATTAAAAAACTTATAAATAAATAAAATAAATATAAAATTCAAGCAAATAAATTTATTTTGTTAAATTTTTACTATTAATTATCTTCTTGTTTAGTGTGTTATCTTTCTCATTGAGAAAGAAAATTTGAATATAAAATTATATTATTTTTCTCAATAAATTCATATTTATAATTTTAATCAATAGATTATATGAGATTAACAAATGATATATATTCAAAATATTTTTATAAAAACTAAAAAATCATCAATTTACAAATTATAACAAAAATTTTATTTGTAAATTATAAAAAAATTTATACTATATTTTAAATAAAAAACATATTTGAAAGTTATAAATTATATATTTGATAAATATTGTTATTATTATAAATTTATAAAAAGATATAATATGATTAAAAAATAAAAAAATATACTAGCCTGCAAGCCAATCCATTTTAGCCCATTAGTTTTGCGAGGTGGGCTAGCCCAACCTGTTTTTAAAAAACAATCCAATTTGTTCAATCCAACTCATTAAATTTTGTTAGTTAAATGGCTAGTCTGTGGGTTCAACTCATTTTTTCAGCTCTAGTTGTTGGTGATCTCCCATTGGATAGGCTAGAATTTTTCTCTTCCCTTATTGGCTGGATTCATTTATCATATGGTATATTTTGAATATAATATATAATTTCTCTCGCTTTTTTATTTCTCTTTCTTCCTTATTGTTTAATCTGTTGCTGTAGCTATGTCAACCACAAGCTTTCTTATTCTACCTCTATTCGTACTGTTAAGTTTGGATCTTTTTTTTTATATTTTAGTTTTATTTATTAATATAATATAATTACTTTTTCATTCAAAACAAAAAACAAAAATCTGTTGCCATTCTTTGCAACTCTTTTTCTTTTTCCTTTTTTTGAAAAAAGCGTTGAAAACTCTACTCGGCCATTGCACTTTCTGTTATTATTATTTTTTTCACCTTCATTTGTTCGGAGTTGGCTATTTTTTATTGAGAGAAGCCTCTTCTATGTAACGATTCTAAATTTTAAATTAAATAAAAAATTTTAATAAATATTTTATTTAAATTAATTTTATATCAAGTGGAAAGTGATAGTTAAGTGAAACTTGTACAAGTAATTTTTTTGAAAATCCAGAATTCATATTCTACAAAAAAAGGGGTTTTTATGTTGTTTTAAATTATTAGGAAATTGTGTGTTCTTTTTGGTAAATTTTGTGTGTGCCATTCTTTGTAATTTCTCGATAAGTTTTACTCCAGAATTTTCTTCTTATTTTCCTCTGTTATTTGAAGACGGGACCAGCGAAAAGAGAGAGAAAGATAGAGCATTCGGATCCTCCTTTCTCACCGTCGATATGCAACTTTGAGCCTTGCCGTCGACTTCCCTTCTTGCTGCCATTGCTCATCTATTTTTCTTCCCTCCATTCTCGTTAGTACAGCAGTGGGGTTGAATCACTGATTCCTTTTCGGTCATCGTCCCTTACTCTGTGTCCGAGGTAAGCTAGTGGTTTCAGATCTTCTAGCTTCACTGTCAGTCTTTTAGCTCTGCCGTTAAAAATTTCAAAGCTTAAGGAGTTGAAGTGGATGGATTCCCACTTTTGCTGCTGTTGTTCTTTGTTTCGTTGCATAGTGGCTGACAGATTGTGGCATGTATTCAGTTCTTATCTTCTCTTCCTCCTCAACTCTTGACATCGTGTGTTATTAATCTTTATGTTTCATTTCTCTTCTGCTAGTGGGTGTTGTGTGAGTGAGTGTGGAAAGTTCAATTTCCCCTTCTCCTTAGGTCGAGAATTTTGGCTCTATTTTTATTCTTGTTGCTGCCGTGAGTTGCTTGGGAATTGAGGGGCTGAATTGGTGAATGATATGCATATTTTTATTGTGATGCTAAGCTAAATGTTGATGATAAAGTTCATGTGGGAGGTTGATTAAATGATAGATGATTATTGTAAGCTGAAATTAGATGCCCTCAATGTGATTGTGAAAATGCTTGAATGAAGAAATCAAATGTTGAAAATTGTTGAATTTACTTAGACGTTTGCCTCATGGTTTAGCTAACGGTGAATGTTTTCATCATGCTTGTAAAAATGCTTGAAAGATTTGTTGGTGGAAATAAGATTGTTTAAATTTTAGAATAGAGCCTAAGGAATTATGAATGTGACTTGAAGGAATATATGTTCTTACACATAAATTATAAAGTTGAGCTATTCATTGAAATTGTGTAGCACTTAAGGAGAAATTATCAGACTAAATGATAATTAAGATTTTGTTATGCTTGAAATAATAATTGTGTTGTGGTTCAATGCTATCTAGTATTGTCTGTACTTGATAGAAGTTGTTAAAGTGTTTAGTGAAAATTTAAGGAGTTAATGAGAAATTTAAAGAATTATTAAAGATATTAAATGATAATTTTGCTCGTTTATTATGAGAAAAGAAATTTATAGTAACATGTGGATTGTTGGATTTTTTGTTAAATTGTTTGGGGCATCACTAAAGTAAGTAAAAATTTGATGAGGTCAGGTTTTAAAATTTTTAAAAATTCTCAGGTGAGTGCGTAGCGTTCTGAATACATTTTGTAAAACATTTATAAAATTTCTTTATTTAAATTTAGTATTTTTTATGATATAAATATCTTTCTCCATCCTACATTTATAATATTTTTATTTATTTATTTATAAGGATGTATTGATTTTAATAACGATTTATATTGCTAAATAGTAATGACATAAGTGGATACATGATAAATGGAAATTAGTTGTTTGAAAGTTGAAATTTGTTCTCCTTCATACATGCTTTATTTTACTAAGGGGGCTGAATTCAGAATATTAGATGCTAATGGCAATTTCATTAGCTCTTGGCGTGCTATGGTATACCTAACTAGCAGGATATTTGTAGGAGATGCTAGCCCCGTGCACAAGCCAACACACGTGAAACGAAGGGATAGATATTTATGAATATTGTACTCACGCTTATATTCGTAGATTTCAAGCCTGTGTTTGGTTCATGGCTTCTGTCGTGCTTGTTTTGTGGTTTTCAACCACGCTTGATTGGTTAGTTATCTTCGTAAACTGTGTGTCTATGCTTGTTATTCGTTCTGATAAAACCCTCCGAAAAATTTTAAATTTAAACTTATCGTTCTCTAAAAATTTTCTAAAAGTATTATATCGAACTGTATTTATTGTAAGTTTTTATATTTTGTAAGCAGTAAAATTTTTAATACACATATGTGATTTTATCAGCCTTGTCTAAATTCACAATTACACAATTATGAAAAATCATCATTTATTTTCAATTTTGAATAATTCATTATTTCATTAAGATATTTGAAGTTAAATTTGTTATTTATTATCTTTATATATTTTCTTTATTAAAATCTGGATTGGCACACTATTCACCGATAAATTTTTAATCTTAGATATTGTACTTGACCCTGCGCCTCCAACTGATCATTGAGAGCCCTTCTTACTTTTTGGATAAAGGAAGTCTATGGTAATTACTCTTTTTAGTGAAATCTTATATTATATTTTGTAAATTATAAGTTAGTGCTTTACGTATACTATAGTTAGATTTTAGTTTTATTTTGTTATTATGAAAATTGTTGGAATGGAGCTAGTCTCCTTACTGGTTTGATTGGCAGCTTTTGTAATTGTTGTGAAAATTTCGAGAGGTTCAAATTATAGAAAAATTTTGCTGAAATTTCTACAAAAACTTTAAAAACTTTAAGAACTTTATTATTATGTATAACTTGCATACATCGCTAATTTAGCTAAATTTTTAGATAATCAAGACTTATGAAATGTGAGTTCACATCATATTTCATGCCGATCATACATTTAGTATTGGAGTGTGACACTCTACCACCCCTTTGAGCCAGAGTAAAATTTGGACTGTCTAGATTTAATTTGGACGGTCCAAATTTAATAATTCTATTTTTTATTTTTTATTTATATTTTTAAAATAAAAAATATATTAAAATTGTAAAAAAATTTAATAAATATATTTATCAATATTACAGTCTAAGTTTAATATAAATGATCTAAAATTAATATTAAAATTTTTTAATAAATTTATTATTATGTTTAAAATATATTTATATTGTCCAAAATATTCTTGAAAAGTTAATTTAAATTTTTATATTAAATTTAAATTATTTATATAAAATTTAAATTGTGAGATTGATAAGTATATTTATTTAAAAAAATTATAAATAAAAAATAAAAAATATTAAATTTAGACGGTTTTAAATTAAGCCTCCGCTTGCCTCAAAGGTTTGAGAGGCAGAGGCTTATTTAAAAGGAGAGAAGCCGAGTCCTCCTGTTTTTTCGTTCTCTTTCGTTCGTCGTAACTGGCGCCTCTTATCTTCTATTTTGAACTTTGAATTCCTTCTCTGATTATTCTTTCATTAGTTCTGTATTTGATTTCTTCGTTTCTCCAGCATGCGGGTGCGGCAATTTTCTCAGATCGGCAATTTCCCTCAATGATCAGGTAACTGTCACTTGCTCTTTGATTAATACGTGTGGAAATTCGTGCTTACGTGACTCCGCCTGAATTGTTCTGCAAAGGCGGTGCAACTTGCCGGGAGTAAAGCCCTCGATGGAGGCGATCGTACGTCTGCTTTTTCAAAAGTTTGATTTAAGTTTTGGCCGACGCAGCCTCCACTTCTTTCTTGTCTATGCCGAGAAAGGTTAGCTGTCGCTCTTTGTTCCATGAGTTTTCTTCATCTCACCTGCTGAAGAGAGACTGGCATCTTTGGCCACAATAAGCCTGAGACGAAAGATTTTTCTTCATCTCAACCGCTCAACAGGTTCCTTCCGAATATTCTTCATCTTATTTTTCCATTATCATTATTGTTTCAAAAGTTTTCATTTTTTGGATCTCTATTTTCCTGCTACTTATTGCCTGCGCTCTTTGCCTTTTTTCTTTGTTCCAGTTCTTGATTCATGAATCATAACTTGTGCTGATGATGCCCCTTCCTTGAGTCTGTAGGTATATTTTTTCAGCTGTTGTCTATTTTTGCTGGTATGTATCTATCTGTAAATTTTTTTGAAGGAACTAATCATTGACTTAGTCATTTGCTTCATTTTTCAGTATAACCTTAAATATGTAGTCCCTGCAAAATTTCAAGTTCATGACTAACAATGCTGACATGTTAAGATGCCTATCTATTGATTGTCCTGAGGGGGGGGGGGGGAACATGTGCACTCTAAGGTAGTTGATTCAAAACTATTTTTCCTTTCTCCTCCCGGCAAATCTACAAATGTCTTACTACTTCTGGGTAAAGTGGCTGCAAATGCATTGACATTATTGCCAAGTCACACCAACCCTGAGACCTGAGGAATCTTTAAGATGTCTATCTGTGGAGTAAGTCCTTCATGTGATTGCAATGACTTTTTTTCACCATTTCTAGGATTTGCTTCATTTAGACTTGAACTTGTAAAGTGGCTTAAGAAAACTATAAGAACACATAAAGATATGAATTTTTTCATTGAACTTGAGCAATGTTAATAACAAGATGTGTTTGATGGATGAAAAACAGTTAGTGTGGTTTTTTTTTATTATTAATTTGGCAAGTTCTGCGTGGTATCTTTTTCATTATTCTCTCTGTTTTAATGTTTAGTTGTTTGTTGCAGATGTTGTGGGGTTTTTGCAATGGTCCAGTTCCATCCAGGATCACAAGACTGGGATTCAGAACAAAAAGAGACTAACGCTGTCTATAGCTGATCAGGAGTTAGTACTTTATCAAATCCAGAATAACATATGCAAGTCCCACTGTTATGATATCCTTTAATGCTAACTTATTTTTCATTTCGGAGAAAAACCTTTAGACGTGTGCTTTGTTTGGTGACACCACTCTGAATTCTGTGAATGACAAGAATTCAGATATTGTGCCTCCTGTAATTGTTGTCGTCGTCCAGATGTGTGTTTTGGGATTTTACAAAGGTGAATCTGGTATTTTTCCTTATTCTTCATTCTTAATTTATCAGTCCAGCATTTTTTAAGATGTTATTTCCTTCACTTCTAAGCAATCCTCAACTTTCAAACTATGGTGATGCTACCAAGGTTTTTTATAATCATGACAGAATAATGTAATCAGAAACTACTGTTCAAGAGTTGCTTGCTCAGGTTTGCAGAATAACTTAATCAGAAATTATCCTTCATCAGACAGGTAGACAAGTTGATGCTATCAATTCCTACTGGATTCATGTGTACACTATTTTTTTTTTCCCCAAGAGTTCAAGGAAAAGATATTTCCCTAGAACACTTAATATATTATATTGAATTTATATATTAATTTTAATGTTATTATTTTATTATTATATTGTTTTATAGTTAATAAGTTCTTTCAATTATTATATATTATAATTGATAAATCAAGTTATATATTATATGTTATAATAATTCTAAAATATATTTAAGACATTTAAAACTAAAATGTGGGAAAGGTTTACTTTTAAGTAGGGTTTTTAAATAAGCTTTCAAGTCAGATTAGGCTTTAGGCTAAATTCGAACTTTTGATTTACTATATAAGTTCAAGTTTATTTGATTAAAGTCTAGGTTGATCCAACTTATTTTTACCCTTACTTCCCACCTTCCAGTTCAGGTGGATTTGGTAGTGAGAGTGATTGGGGGGGGGGGGGATAGGTGGCTCTTTTTGTAATTTCATTCGATTCTTCTTTTGTTTTTTGTTTTTTATTTTGCGTTTTATCATGCCCTTCCTTGCCGTTTTTATTCATGTGTTGTTCACGTAGTGAGATGTATGAAAATGCTGCCAGATTGAAGGAAATTTGGATTCGGATTTTATATTTAAAATATTGCATTTAAATGGTTTTTTTTTACCAACTTATTTAAATGGTTAAAGTATGTTTTTACTATTTTAATTTTATATAAAGTTTTAATTTAATTATTTAATTTTATAAAATATTTTTTAGTTCTTTAATCTAAACATAGTTAAGATATTTTTTTTGTGTTAATTATTATTATTTTTTAAAAAAATTAAATTTAATATGTCAACATTTAAAGGTTCAATGTATGAAAAGATAATTAATAAAATTTAAAAAAGATAAAATATTATATAAAATTAAAGGACTGAAAATAGATTTCAATTTATTTTACACTTTTATATATTTTAAATGATTTTGAATAATATAAAAATTTTTAAATTTTATGTAGAAGGCATTTCAAAAATATCCGTAAGACCCTTATTAATAAAATGATACCAAATAGCTGGGGTTTGATTGTTTAAGCAGAAAATAATAACATCTGGGCAATGAAGTAAAAATCATTTTAAATTTTGGAGACAATATTGAACAATAGAAACTTGGGTAGTTACCTATTACCAAAAGAATAAAAAAGAAAGAAAGAAAGAAACTTGAGTAGTTACCATTATAGAAATGATACTTTTATTCAATTTTTTAGGTTAAATTATATATTATTCCTTCAAACTTTGAATTACGTACACATGATATCTTTAATTTTTAAAACTTTACAATAAACTTCCCTCAACTTTTATATTTATGTAGATAACTTATATAATTAATTTTATACATTAATTATCTACACATAACTTAAAGTTTAGAGAGTTATCAATATATCATTCAAAGTTTAGAAACTTAAATATAAAAAATAATAATGTTTAAAGAGGTATATAATTAATTGCTAGAGACTATGTGCATAAACTTGAAAGTTCAAGAAGTCTTATTATTAAGTTTTAAATGTTAATGTAATTATTTGTACATGGTTCAAAATTTTAAAAAGTTTTGCATAATTTAACTATTGTTTTATTTTGAGTTTTATCTTATCCTTCCTTTATGTTTTGCTTACATATTTTTTATTTAATGTAAGGCTACAGTTAACTCATGTAAGAGAAAGTAGTTAGGATATGTTCAAACGGACTTGGCTTCCCTTGGTACAGCTCCGCTGCAGTTAGAGATAAATTTGGACTGTTTAAATTTATTTGGATAGTTTAAATTTAATCTTTTTATTTTATTTTATTAAAATAAAAATTATATAAAATATAAAAAAATTAATAAATCTTGTTATCAGTTTAAACAGTTCAAATTTAATATATACAATTCAAATATAATACTAAAAAAATTAATATTAAAGCTACACTATTGATAATATATCTGGATAATTAATTTATAAAAATTAAAAATTTTTAATATTAAAACAGCACTATCTAGAATATATCTAGATAGTTAATTTATAAAAATTTTAATATTATATCTGGATCATATATATTAAATTTGGACTGTCTAAGCTTATAAACAGATTTATTAAATTTTTTATAGTTTATATAATTTTTTATTTTAATAAAATATAATAAAAAAAGATTAAATCTAGACCATCCAAATTTATTTGGATGGTCCAGATTTATCTCTAGCTATAGCAAAGGGCTTCCCTCGAAGGAGAGAAGCCGAGTCCAAGTCCAAACTCGACACTTAGGTGATGGATCATTAAAAATTCTAATATCAACATTGACATTATAAGCCTAACAAGCAAGCCAAGAGCATTAATTAGTTTCTCTAAGCATGTGGTTGAAATCAATCACCTTATATTTCATGGCCAAGTATCAAATCTTCTCTAGTTTTAGTTAGCAGATGGTTTAAGGTGAAGTCATGCTAAATAAACATGAGTTTTAAGAGAATCTGAGTAAATATTGACTTTGGTAAACATATTCTTACAATAGAGATTGAGACTATCGAGAATTTTCGAACGCTAAGCGGCAATAAAAGGATAATAATCAAGTTTTTGGAAAAGCTTTTTATCCAATTACATTGGTCATCACCAATGATAGACCCAAAAAATTTAGTTAATAGTGGCAAATTTTAACCAAATATAATATTAAAATTTTATAAAAATATAATTCTAAATATTTATTAAATTAATATAAAAATAACATTCACTAAAGTTAATTATTAAAGAACTAGTATATTTTTATAATTAATATGATAGAAAAATATATTTTTAGATATACATGTTTTATGCTTTTTAAAAATAAATAGGTACAAACATACATTTTTTTTGGGGCGGGGGGGGGGAATGAAATTTTAAAATTTTCAAGGGGATTATGTGCAATTTTTTTATATAAATGAAATTTATAAGTAATATTAACTTTTTTGTGCCACCACTGTCATAGACGTAATTCCGTTATTAGTCATTACAGATGAGACCTTTACAAGTAGTAACCCCATTAACATCAATCGAGCTATCAAATGTGATTAATTGATTTAATCATGGATCAAGAATCAAAGAAAATGATATAAAAATAAGTCATTCTATCTCCCTTAAAAATGAAATATCAAAAATAAAATATTGAAATAGTTGTCAAAGAATAGGCTAATTAAACCTAATATTTCTTAACAAGTAATAATAACTTCACTTACAAGTAGCGTCAATGCATCGTCCATAAATATCTTAACTTGGTCTCCTATTTCCTTTGAAAAATTACTGGTATAAATTAATTAGTCCCAGAATGTTACGCCATTTATACGATCCAAGACGAAGTATATTTATTCTATTTTTATTTATGTTATGAAACTTAAACATATGTAATAATTTCTCATTCTTGTTGAGCGAGTCATATTTTTAAGCCATTTATAACTTAGAGACATAAAAAATGGAATAATTTTGCAGGTTAATATACATATTAGCAAATAAGTTCTAATTAGGAGTAGAGACAGGGAAAACAGGGGGCCACGACCACCTAATTTTTTAATTTGTTTCATAGTAAACTATATGGCTTAAATATTTTTAGCTCTCTAAGTTGATATATTATAGAAATCTTGAGAAACTAAATGAAATTTTCATTTCTATTTTATATATAGTCTATTATGCATGTATAATGCAACTATTTTAATAATTTGAAAATATAATTGTGATGAGATCTATTCCCTCAATCTTTATTTACTAAAGAAACTATCACTTTTGACAAGAAATAATTAGGGATAATGCAACTTTTAGTTCCTTACATTTGCACGAGTTATTGATTTGGTCTTTCAGGTTTAATTTTTATCATTTTAATCCTTAACATTTATATCAGTTATCAAGTTAGTCCTCAAAATAAAAATAAAAAACAAATTAGCCCCTCAAGATAAGATGACATGTAAATTAAGTTGATGTGGAATATGCACAGATAAATTTATACTCCTAAGCCAAATTTCCAATTCCTAGTTGCTTATGTGTATTGATTTTTTTAAATTTTCTATTTTCCAAATTATAACTTATACTTTATAATTTTCAATTAGGGAAATTTAAAACATTTCAGAGGGGGCGATTGTTTTTGCCCAATGCTTGGAGTAAGGACTTGTGAAGGAGGCTTGCACATGTGCGACGGTGAAGGTGAACATTGAATGATGGAGGATCACAAGCAAAACCAGACGATGGTCGATGGTAAGAGAGCTTCATGCAAACACTCTTCTTCCTTCTTTTTCTTCACGCCCTAATAGATTTTCATGGAGATTGGCGACGCAGCATTTGCTTTTGTAATTTTTAAAAGGAAAAATTGGTGAAAAGAACCAAGTTGAAAGCAAAATTAGTCCCAATTACCAAATTCTGTTGAATGACCAAATATAATTTCTTATTCATTAAACCATTCATGGTTTGACTGATATGCCCTTGCCAGCAACCAAAAATTTTGAAAAAAAAAATTACCCTCTCTTCTTCCTTTCTTTGCACTATTTGAATGAGAGAAGACAGCGAGGGACACTTCTGACGGGCAATCAATGGCAATGTGAAGTGTGAGTAAGTTGTGGGCGATGAGCACAAAGAAAGACAACCCCATCTCTTCGCACGGTGCCCTAATTGAACAGCTAGTGATCGACAAGTCTTAAGCGACGATTTTTGAGCTTCTTCAGAGTGGTGGCGGCCTGAGTGACAATGACTAGGTACACATTGTGTTTGAAAACTTCCATTTTGTCCAAGGGAGCATTGTTCTATTTTTCTCTTGTTCTTAGTTGCTCCCTTTGTTCTTCTTGCCATCTAAGCTTATTCAAAAATTTGCAAATGAGATTGACCATGAACTTCTAATTGCTCGAACCTTGTGGTCTCTAAAAATTTCATGTAAATTAATCCATGAACAAAGTTAGGTGTGCAAAAATTACATGTTATTTGTATTGAATTTCATTTAAAATGAATACACCTTCCTGTGCCCCTACCTACCTTCCATGTTAGCCATTATGTGATGCCATGTAAAATAATGTGTGATCATACTAACATGCCTATGATC